TCTTAGATAGAGAGTATGACAGAGTTCAAACAATGGTTATTCAAAGGATTGGTCAAGCAGAATCACTGACTCTTGTGTCAGATGGATGGACTGATATACAAGAAAATCCTTTATTGAACATTAAGTTAGCAACACCTGAACCAATATTCCTGAAAGCAATTGCTACTAAAGCTTCTTATCATACAGGTGAATACATAGCCAAATTACTGAGTGAAGAGACTGAAAGTGCAGGTCCCTCCAAGGTACAAACCCTTATAACTGATCATGCGAGTAACATGAAAGTTGCATGGCAACTATCAAAAGCAAAGTATCCTCATTTAATAGTATTTGGCGGTCTTGCTCATGGGTTGAATCTTCTGGCAAAGGACATAGTAAGTGTGAATACAATGAAGACAATATTGGCAAGCTGCAAAGTGATTGTGAAGGGATTCAACAATCATCACGTTGCTAACCAGACTTTGTAGCTGAGCCCCATATAGTGTCTCCTGGCAATAAAAGTGCACTTTTCTTCCCCTACTTCTCATTTCTTCAAAGTGTTTACATAGTTTGCTGTGCACAAAGAACTGCTAGCAGTGTGCTTCAATAGGTGACACAGTATCCCAGATTATTCCCATGAACATTCGGAAGCAGATTTTCGACAGCAATGCATTTGGGCTCGAGTTCAAGGAGCATTCAGTTTGCTACTACCAGTTTCAGTGGCTATCAAGAAACTTGAAGGAGAATACACCAAGCCTTTCAAATATTCCAGAAATATTCAGACAACTGAATGAAAATCTAATTGAGCTTTTGCCTTCTTCATCTCTATCCAAAAAAGTAGTAGTAGTAGAAAAACAAATGTTTACTAAGAGATTTGAGTTTTGCCCTCATCTAGTTCATTTAGCAGCAAACTCATTTAGTTCATCTGGCATTGTTTGACCTCAGCGCTCTTTCCCGCCCAGGGCAGGGAGTCGGACTCAATGACCTACTGAGGTCTGTTCCAACCCTAACGTCTATGAATCAAACCTTTTGGATCCTCAACACAGAGGACATCATTTATCAGAAGATGAATTATCTGCTGCTCTCGATACAATTATGGAAGTAGCTAAGAGTGTCCCCAACATGGATGAAATAGCCGGGATGGCAGACATTGCTCAGTACTGCACAAAAGAAAAACTTTGGAGCAAAGACATCATTTGGTGGGCAGCAGAGACTGTGTCTCCTCTCATATGGTGGAAGGGATACTGTAACACCCGACTGTTTCCAGGATTGCTCTAAGGATCCCAAGCAGTCCACCAACAGCAGCTTCTTGGGAATGGAACTGGAAGGCTTTCAGCTCAATTAAGACAAAGAAGAAGAATAGACTAATGAATGAATGCACTGCTAAGCTTGTTTCTATTTCTCAAAATCTCTTGTTTCTGGAGAATCAGTCAGAAGCAGAATTAGTGAACAAGATGGAGCATGATGATAAGTTGCCCTTCCCCATAAACCCATTGGTAAAACTATCCTTTAGTGAAAGAGAATGTGGTTCAAGTCATTCTGAATCAGATCTGCCTCAATCTGATTCAGAAGTGGAACTAATAAGCGGTGCAGGTGATTCTCCAGATAGTGACAGTGAAACTGGAGGTGCCGCAATGACCTCAGCGGAAGAGAATTAAACTCTCTTGAAGTAGATGAGTGGACAACCATGGCTTATCATGCACAGTTGTGTGGGTGTGCTAAAATTAGGGTGTCAACAGGTTTCAGTGCGTTCATTATTTTACTTAAATTTAAACAAACTATAAGGGAAGTAAGGGAAGTACATGCTATGTAAGGGAAGTACATGCTATTGTGTATTGTCTTTATATTTTTACAAGTATTCCAATAAAAATAATTTCTTTCCACATAAAGCTTTGCATTTGTTTGAATATAACAGTTAAACCACATTAAGTGTGCTGTATTTAATTTTAATCAGATATTTCAGTTCAAAAACTTGAGGCTATTGGGACATAAAATTAACATGGGAGGACTTTTTTAGGTTTTTTTCCCCCTAAATATAAGTCAAATAGACATGTTAAATTAGATCATGCGCCATTTAGGGCATTGGAAATTTTTTGGGAAAATTCAAAATTTTCCAGAAAACCTACATCTCTGCTCACAATGCATTATCTAAATTTTCCTGAGAGAGGTTTATGGTACGGCTGGGTAAAGCTGGGAAGATGTGTTATGTTTAATATCATTGAGGTATCAAAAATGCATCTAGTTCTACACCAAAGCCTAGTCAAAATTTGAAAAACCATGCATCACCTCTCTAGAAGCTACACCTGGGTTGGTTTCAAGCAGTACACAGAGAAAGCGTGGTGAAGTTATGTGGTCTCAAGAGTGCCCGTCTGGGGAAGGCATAATAGGGTGAACTGCAGCTCAGCAGTGGAGTCTGTGCCCAACTGTCCAAAAATGCCATTGCATGAATAACCCAACATTTCTTTCTTTTTTTAACTTGATAAAATAACCCCTTAGTCAAGGTTATATATGGAGCCACATTTAGTTTTAATAACTTTATTATACCAGAGTATAATGCGCTATATTCTACTATACTCTATATAGCATTACATTATTCATTTCAACATGAGCTCAGCAATAAGGACACTTTCTAGTTGACTTTGACACACTTCATCAAGGTGGAGAGAAACCCCCTGCCTCTCTCTTGGATCCCTCATTTAAGAACAAAAACAATGACGTGAGGAAATTATAGCTGAGAAATCATGCACAAGTCTATCTAAGCAAATATTCCCCCCCCCCAATGTATCCATCTTCATAAGCACTCCAAAATACCTGTTTTGGAGAAAAAAAACCCACTGACTGATTTGGGGGGGGCATTGCATTTAAGACCCACAGATGAGGTCTCTGCTCACAGAATACCAGAGATTCCCAGAAATCCATCACCTAGGAGTTGTCTCTGGTATTGATTGTATAAGGAAGGTGATTAATGAGCTGTGATAGTTTTTAAGTCTTAGTGATCTATTAGTTCCAGGGGTTAGCATGGTTAGGCTGCACTAGTTTCTGGAAGCAATAACACATTAGGAAAATATGTAACTAGCATCCCATCCAGCCACCTTTGGTTGTGGAGGAGTATTTACCAATTACACACTTACAGGTGGATTGATAGGGGAGAAGATGAACAGTCCTCAGTGATGAAAGAACAAGTCAGAGACTGCTTAGAAAAGCTGGACGTGTACAAGTCCATGGGGCTGGATGCAATGCATCTGAGGGTGCTGAGGGAGTTGGCTGAAGTGACTGCAGAGCTGCTGGCCATTATCTTTGAAAACTCATGGCAATCAGGGGAGGTCCTAGACAATTGGAAAAAGGCAAATATAGTGCCCATCTTCATGAAAAGGAAGAAGGAGGATCCAGAGAACTACAGACCAGTCAGCCTCACCTCAGTCTCCAAAAGATCATGGAGCAGATCCTCAAAGAATCCATTTCTAAGTACTTGGAGGAGAAGAAGGTGATTAGGATTTGCCAAGGGCAAGTCATGCCTGACCAACCTGATTGGCTTCTATGATGAGATAACTGGCTCCACGGATGTGGAGAAAGCAGTGGACATAACATACCTTGAATTTAGCAAGGCTTTTGGTACCATCTCCCATAGCATTCTTGCAAGCAAGCTGAAGAAGTATGGGTTGGATGAATGGACTGTGAGGTGGATAGAAAGCTGGCTTGAATGTTGGGCTTAGCAGGTAGTAATGAATGGCTCAATGTCTAGCTGGCAGCTGGTATCAAGTGCAGTTCCCCAGGGGTTGGTCCTGGGGCTGGTTTTGTTTAATGTGTTCATCAGTGACCTGGAAGATGGCATAGAGTGCACCCTCAGCAAGTTTGTGGAGGACACCAAGCTGGGGGGAAGTAGTAGATACACTGGAGGGTAGGGCTAGGATTCAGAGTGACCTAGACAAATTGGAGGATTGAGCCAAAAGAAATCTCATGAGTTTCAATAAGTAGAAGTGCAAATTCCTGCATTTAGGACAGAATAATCCCATGCATTGCTACAGCCTGGGGACTGACAGGCTAAGCAGCAGCTCTGCAGCAAAAGACCTAGCGGTTACAGTGGAAAATAAGATGGATATGAGTCAGCAGTGCGCCCTTGTTGCCAAAAAGGCCAACAGCATGCTGGGCTGCATTAGTAGGAGGGTTTCCAGCTGATCTAGGGTAGTAATGATTCTGCTCTATTCTTCACTAGTGAGGCCACATCTGGAGTACTGTGACCAGTTTTGTGCCCCCACTACAGAAAGGATACGGACAAGTGGGGGAGAGTTCAGTAGAGAGCAGCAAAAATGGTTAGGGGGCTGGGGCACATGACTTATGAGGAGCAGCTGAGAAAACTGGGTTTATTTAGTCTGGAGAAGAGATGACTGAGAGGGGATTTGATAGCAGCCTTTAACTACCTGAAGGGTGCCCACAAAGAGGATGGAGTTAGATTGTTCTTAATGTTGACAGATGACAGAAAAAGGAGCAATGGTCTCAAGTTGCAGCAAGGGAGGTTTAGGTTGGATATTAGGAAAAACTTTCTCACTAACAGGGTGGTGAAGTGCTGGAACAGGTTCCCCAGAGAGGTTGTGGTTTCCATCCTTGGAGGTTTTTAAGGCCCAGCTCAACAAAGCCCTGGCTGGAATGATCTAGTTGGGGATGGCCCTGCTTTGAGCAGGGAGTTGGACTAGATGTGACCTCCTGAGGTCCCTTCTGACCCTCATTGTCTATGATTCCATGATTTAGTGTGGACATTAGCACAAGTGCACAATGGGGTTTTATCTTAAGTCACTGCAGGAAGGACACTTGGCAAAGAACGCTCGAGTACTTTGTCACCAAGCTCTTTTGAAATGGGAAAGAGGGTATAAACTTCTAAGTCTAGACAGTCTGATTGCAATTAAGATGATTTAAATGTACAGCAACCTTACTTTAGTAGAGATGGTCTGGATTGTATACTGCTTTATTGTGGTGAACATAACTACCAGTCATATTTATGTATGCAGAAAAAGATAGTTAAATGACAATTATGAGAAAAAGATGGACACTTGCTTCCCAGTGAATAATATGCAGCCAATAATTTTCCCAAGGGCAGCTTTAATCTCCTTGTTCCTCATGCTGTAGATGACAGGATTGACCAGTGGTGGTACTATGGCATAAAGAACAGCTACTATGAGATCCAGAGCTGATGGGGTGCTGGAAGGAGTTTTTAAGTAGGCACAACAGCCAGTGAGAAAAAACAAGGAGACCACAATGAGGTGAGGAACACAGGTGGAGAAGGCTTTATGCCGGCCCTGCTCTGAGGGGATTCTTAGTACTGCACTAAAGATCTGAACATATGATACAACGATGAAAACAAAACAGGTTAAATATAAGAACAGACCAAAGAAAAGTATCCTCACCTCACTGAGATATGAATCAGAGCAGGAGAGATGGAGCAGCTGGGGGATATCACAGAAAAACTTGTTGATGATGTTGGAGTGGCAGAAAGGTAACCGAAAAGTGTCACCAGTGTGGAGTGCAGAAGAAAGAATGGCATTGACCCATGCACTGACTGCCATCTGGACACAAGCTCTTCTGTTCATGATGGTCTCATAGTGCAATGGTTTGCAGATGGCAATGTATCGATCATAAGCCATGATGGTGAGGAAGGCAAAGTTGGCTGTAGCAAAGAAAAAGAAGAGGAAAACTTGGGCAACACATCCAGCATAGGAAATCAACCTGGTGTTCCACAGGGAATTGCCCATGGATTTGGGGACAGTGACAGAGATGGTTCCCAGATCTAGGATGGACAAATTCATGAGGAAGAAGTACATGGGAGTGTGAAGCTGGTAGTCAAGGGCTATCACCATGATAACGAGGAGATTCCCTATCAGAGCTGCCAGGTATGCTGCTAGAAAGATGGCAAAGTGTAAAAGCTGCAGCTTCCGGCTGTCAGAAAATTCCTGGAGGAGGAACTCGGTTACAGTGGTTTGGTTGGACATTGCCTTTTTCAGTCCATTGGGGGATGCCTGCGGAGGAAAGAAAAAGGGCAGTGGTCAGGATCGGATAAACAAAGGTCAATGGCTCTAATTCTGCTTTCAAAAACCTCTGAGAAATGCACTTTCATATATACACGGTGCCTAATTTTTAATAAAAAATATTTTTAGATTGAAATTTTTTGTTTGAAATGTTTTGAAATTGTTTGAAATGTTTGTCAACATTTAGATTGAGATGTTTTTTAAAACATTAATGTTTTTCTATGGGATGTTGTTGCATTTGAAAGGAATATTTTGATTTCTACAGCAAACTGACCAGCAGTATTATTCAGTAGGTACTACTGGACAGATCACACTATTGCTATCGGCTAGGAGGTGCAAACTCACTGTACCTTTCAAAATAAGTGCTGTAGTCCGGTTCATTATTAAATTAGTAGTATTTGGTAGAACTCCTGTGCAGGTCACAGGGCTGAATCAATTATAACATGTGTCTCAAAATGTGGCTGGAAAAAATGGAACAAAATACAACCTTTAGTTTTACAGTCATAGAAAAGGGGTCTCAACCATACTGTGAAAAATACTTAAAGCTTGCGCCAAAAACTGTAACACTAATATTTCAGCACAGCATCCCTCCTTCCAAAGGATATACTGTATGGTATCAGCTTGTATGTAATAATTGCACACCCAAGGTTTGCCCGCAGATTGGCTGCCTCCTCGTTGCAAACTAACACATGATTCTGCATACCAGCATGTAGAAAGGGGTTAGTACAATCTCTCTGATACTTCTGTTCTGTGTAACCAAACTCTGTCACTCTGTTACCTGGACCAAAGCAGAGTTTGGGAAGGAGTCTGCCTTACTACTTCAATGCTCTGCTCATTTGGTCATAGCATTAGGATTTAGCTTGCAGCAACATGGCCAAAGACACACAATTCCAATCTCACTGACTTTCTTTAAGCCCTTAGCTTTCCTTTCTATGTATTCAGACATGAAACAACTTACTGTGCTGTTCTTTGTGGGTTTTTTCCACATGCTTCTGTTGCATTTGATCCTCCACTGCCAGGATCCTTTGCTCATTACCCAGCTCTCAATCTACATACATTTTCTTTCCTCTGTCACTGAAGTTTCTAGATGATAAAGACAGCAGTGATTTGATTCAAGTGTATTTCTGTCTACAGATGAGCAGGCTGTAGATGACTCTGCAGAGAGTCAGAGACTCAAAAGAGCAGAAGCTGCAGTAAGATGGTTTATGTGTGTCCCTCTTTTAAGGGCTTGTGGGACTCATTCCCTAGAGCTCTGCATAGCTCAGAAGCAGAGGTTTAGAGGCAGACACTCTTGAAGCAACAGTTTTTAAAGTCAAAGGACCATTGTAGATATCTAATTTGCCCTTCTGTAAGGCACAGGTCATAAGTCTCACCCCGGTTTTCCTGCTTGAAGTTCTCTGTAAATGGTGGGATGGACTGAAAAAGGTATTCAGGTACCCACATATGCACAAAGATGCTCAGTTGAATTTAGAAACCTACATGAGCTGATTGGCTAGTTCCATTTGTTTAGATGTTTTAACCCTCACAGATGGCTACCTAAATCTTAAAGAATTGTAACCTGGGTGCACCCAAGTATGTGCTTCCCGCTCCTAACGGAGGGGACGGGTAGCTTAGCAGGAGTGCTGAGAGAGGGATATGCAATACTGGCCCATTCCCTCTGTTCTCTGTAGTCAGGCCAGGACAAAAATACTTTAACTATATACAGGTTTATTAATATACATATATATACACATACACAAAACCCAAAAATGATATTAATAAATATATACTTTACAAATAAGGCTATATTCTATAGCTGGCAACTAGGAAATTATACCACCACCAATGGCCTCGAACCCAGCACAGGTAAGTATTTCATCTGAAACAGGTAAGCACAGGTAAGTCCAAATAACCAGTGGCGACATGTAGCGAGTACATGGGGGTACATGTGGACCCCCTCAGAGCGCTGGTGCACCCCCTGGCAGGCAGCACTCTCTGCTTAAGCAACAGGGAGTGGGGGGGTAGGTGAGAGTGCTGGTGCCCCCCCGACAGTGCCATCTGGGGAGTAGGGGTTTTCATCTGAAACAGGTAAGCACAGGTAAGTCCAAATAACCAGTGGCGACATGTAGCGAGTACATGGGGGTACATGTGGACCCCCTCAGAGCGCTGGTGCACCCCCTGGCAGGCAGCACTCTCTGCTTAAGCAACAGGGAGTGGGGGGGTAGGTGAGAGTGCTGGTGCCCCCCCGACAGTGCCATCTGGGGAGTAGGGGTGCCTGGAGAAGCGATCCCCATAGTCCCCCCCATGGCCGATCATGCCAACCTGGATTGGCTCAACACTTCTAGGTCGGTATGATTGCTTGCCCCACCAGTCACTGACCCTTTTCCCATGGAGCCCTCTGTTAGACCCCCTTACAGGGGCTTCCTCCCCTGTGGGAACCCTTTCCCTGATAACTCACAGCTCCAATGGGTGATGTGGGGTCCTTGTCACCCCAGCTGGGGTTTCTTTCAGCTGATGCATCTTTGGGTCCTGTGGGCCCTCTGATCCCATTGCAGCCCTGTGCCTCACTTCGAGCCCTGAGGGCTTTGCCTGCTGCTCATGGTTGGGGGCTCAGGCTACCTTCTGTGGGTCCAAGGCCCAGGTCCCCCCCTGGGACCAGCTGTGGATTGAGCATCCACATGAATCCTAGCTGTGCACCAGGAAATGGTTGACCCGAGCCACCCTGAGTGGCTCCCAGGTTTGGGGTCCCACCAGACTGCACTGTACTATGCTGCTGGCTCTGGGTTCCCGGCCTCATACTGGGGGTTGTAGAGGTGAGCTGCCTCGTGCAGCTCCCAGGGTCTGAGCTCCATGCACCACTGCATGCACCAAGTGGCTGGAGACCCAAGCTGCTTCACACAGCTCCCACGGTCTTGCCCCATGTGCCGCGCTATGCACCGACTGGGGCTGAAGCCATCCACTGCTCCTGTCCAGAAAGAGGCGTCTTCAAGGGCTCTTCAAGGGAACAGCATCTACCCACTGGGCTGCTCTTCCCCAGATCTTCTTAGCCCTGCTCTCTTCTTTGTCCCTTGACGCATCTGCCCATGTGTCGGGCACGCTGTTCTTTTATCCCCTTCAGAGGCTCTACCCCAGGATTGTATGGGACCAGTCAGGGTGAGGTGGAGCTGGTCTACAACCAGGTCTAGACTCTTCACCTTGCCCTGGGTAGGGGTGGGCCAGTCCCTCCCCAACTGTTACCCGATTGGTGGAAACAGCCCACCAATTGGAATCAGGCTTCTCCAAGCCCAGCATGCCAGGTAATGGCCGACGAGCCCACCATACAATGTCAGTGTCCACGAAAACTTGCTTCTGAATCTCTCAATAAGGGGCAAAATGCCATGGGTAAGGTTGTACCTACCATAGGGTAAGATCATGCAACCAAGTAGTTATTATGAAGTAGCAAGTCCATCTTCTCATTTACCTCTTGGTAAATTGTCCTATGCCTTTAGACTCGTTGAAAATCACTATCTAACTTGATAGCAAGACCAGCCAGGCACCAGGCACTGAAGAGAAGTAGTTGAGTAGGGCTTCAGAGATGTAAGCCTAATAGTGCAATGAAGGCCACATAGCTTTGCCTACAATGATTCCTCAGCACCTAAAATTCAGCCTTTTTACATGTTCCAAAGAAATGCAGTTTAATCACCTGAGTGCTTGTTTCCCTACTAGGTTCCAGATACCATGGTTTAAGCAAAAAGACCCCATTTCTATTCCCCTTCTTAGGTTTCTCAGTGAGCTTACACATCTACATTGTGATCCTATTCCAGCCTACTTCCTTTCCCGACAAAACACTAACACAAAATATTTCTGTAACATTTCCACAACATTCTTGCAAGGAAGCTAAGAAAGAGTGGGTTGGATAAATGGATTGTAAGGTGGATATATAAAAGTGGCTGGGGCACTGGGCTCAAAGGGGAGTAATCAATGATTTGGTGTCTAGGTGACTGCTGGTATGAAGTGGAGTTCCCTAGGGGTCAGGCCTGGTGCTAGTTTTGTTTAATATATTCATGAATGACCTGCAAGATGGGATGGAGTGCACCCATAACAAATTTCTGGATGACACCAAGCTTGGCAGAGTAGTAGACGTGCCGGAAGGTAGGGCTTGGATTCAGAGAGACCTCAGCAAATTGGAGGATTGGACCAAAAGGAATCTTATGAGATTCAATAAGGACCATGGCGAAGTCCTGAATTTAGAATGGAAAAATCCCATGCATCAGCACAGGCTGGGACTGACTGGCTTATCAAGCAGTTCTGCAGACAAGTGCCTGGGGGTTTCAATGGACAATAAGTTAAAAATGGGCCAACAATGTGCCCTTGTGAAGAAAGCTAATGACATCTTGGACTGGATTGGGAGGAGCATTGCCAGCAGATCAAGGGAAGTGATTCTTCCTCTCTGTTCTGCACTGATGAGGCCACATATGGAGTAGTGTTGGGCTCTCCACTACAGAAAGGATGCCGACAAACTGGAGAGAGTTCATCAGATGGGAACAAAAATGGTTAGCAGGCTGGGGCACACGACTTGTGAGGAGAGGCTGAGGGAACTGGGCTGATTTATTGTGGCAGAGACAAGACTGAGGGAGGACTGAATAGCAGCCTTCAACTACCTGAAGGGGGGTTTCCAAAGAGGATGGAGCTAGACCAGGGGTGGCCAAAATGGCAGATCTGGCCAGTGGCCAGACTCCATTTCCTAGTGTACCCTGCACCTCACTGAGACCAGTTTCCATGGAAAGCCCAGGAGCCGCGGGACCATGACGATGCAGGGCTCGGGTTTCCATGGAGACCAACCCAAGCAGTGCTGGCGGGGTGCCTGTCTGGGTGGGGAGCTGCTGCAAGTCTGGGACTGGGATTTTGTGGCGATGACAGCATGGTCCAGATCTGGGGCAGAGCCATGACCTGCTGCCTACATGCCCTGGACAGGGATGTGCAGGCAGCAGATTGTGGCTCTGCCCTGCTGCCCGCACACCCTGGACAGGGGTGTTTAGGTAGCAGATTGTGGCTCTGCCCCAACTCTGGACCACACTGTCATTGCCGCGAAATCCTGGCCCCAGCCCTGGAGCAGTGGCCATCACATATAGGTTAGCCAATGACTCCTGCCCCTGCCTGCAGGGCTCTGCCTCTTGTCCCGGTTGCCTTCCACCCACTCTGCCCACCCGGTGTGATGGGCAGCCACTTGTGGGTGCTCAAGGAGGTGGAAGGCCATTGGGAGCTGGACCAAAAACCATACAACCCTGGCCTGTGATCCCAGCCTCACCTACCTGTCCCAGTCCTGAACACCATTCCCACCCACCTGCAGCCCTTCCCACATTAGGAGCCCCTCTAGAGATAGCATAGTAGGGCGAACTGCATCTTAGCAGTGGATTCCATGCTTAGATGCCCAGGTATTCAATTTTATGAAAAACACATTTCTTTCTTTCTTTAGCATTATAAAAAGGGCCCTTAGTCAAGGTTATACACGGGCACACTCAGTTTAATAACTCAATAATAGTGGCAGCATTAAAATACTCATTTCAACAAGAGCTCAGCAATGCTGACACTTTCGAGTTGTCTTTTCCACTCTTCATCACTGTGGAAAGAGAGCCCCCGCTCTCTCTTGGCATTCCTCATTTAAGAAGATCAACAATGATGTGGGGAAATAATGGCTGAGAAATCATGCAAAAGTCTATCTAAACTAATATGCCCCATTCCAGCCCCTGCCCCTGCCAATGCATCCATCTTTCCAAGCACTCCCAAATACCTGTCTTGAAAAAAAAGCCCACTGACTGACTCATGGCGGGGTATGGATTTAAGACCCAAAGATGAGTTCTTACCTCAAGGAATTCCAGAGATTCCCTGAAATCCTCTAAGGACTTGCCTTTGTTATCGATTTTACAAGGAAGGTGATTAATTAGCAGAGTGATAGATTTTAAGTCTTCATGATTTAATACTTCCAGGGCTTAGCATGGTTTAGTTCAACCAGGTTTTGTAGGCAATAGCAGATAAGGACCTATGTCACAATCATCACATCCAGTCACTTTTGACTGTGACGGACTATTTACCAAATACATGCTTACAGGTGTATTGAATTGTGGGACGGTTGGGGGGGGGGATAGGTGTATTGAATTGCGGGACGGTGTGGGGGGGCGGTGTGTGTGTGTCATAAGGGCAGAGCAAGGTTTAATTTTAACACACTGGAGTTGTAGCAAGATACCTTGAGTGCTTTGTCACCAAGCTTCTTTGAGATAGGAGAAAGGATAGTATAAACGTCTAAGGAAAGAAAGTGTAGCTGTAATTAAGATGATGATTTAAATCTTTACTGTAGTGGAGTTAGTCTGGATTGCACACTGCTGTACTGGGGTAGACATATCTAGCAGTTATTTATATCTATGCACAAAGAGATAATAAAATGATGATTATAAAACAAAGATGCACACTGTCTTCCCATTGAATAATTTCCAGCCAATATATTTCCCAAGGGCAGCTTTCATCTTCTTGTTCCTCATGCTGTAGATGATTGGATTGACCATTGGTGGCAGTATGGCAAGCAGAACAGCCACCACGAGATCCAGACCTGAGGGGGAGTTGGATGTGGGAATCATGTATGTAATGATGCCAGTAAAAATAAGCAAGGAGACCACAATAAGGTGAGGAATGCAGGTGGAGAAGGCTTTCTGCTGGCCCTGCTTTGATGGGATTCTCAGTACGACACTGAGGATCTGAACATATGATACAACGATGAAACCAAAACAGATAACAATTAAACACCCACTAAAAATAAGAATCCCAACTTCACTGAGAGATGAGTCAGAGCAGGAGAGCTGGAGCAGCTGGGGGACATCACAGAAAAACTTGTTGATGATGTTGGAGTGGCAGAAAGGTAACCGAAAAGTGTTACCAGTGTGCAGTGCAGAATAAAGAATGGCACTGACCCATGCACTGACTGCCATCTGGACACAAGCCCTCCTCTTCATGATGGTCTCATAGTGCAGTGGTTTGCAGATGGCAATGCATCGATCGTATGCCATGATGGTGAGGAAGGCAAAGTTGGCTGTAGCGAAGAAGAAGAAAAGGAAAACTTGGGCAACACATCCAGCATAGGAAATCAACCTGGTGTTCCACAGGGAATTAGCCATGGATTTGGGGACAGTGACAGAGATGCTTCCAAGATCTAGAATGGACAAATTCATGAGGAAGAAATACATGGGTGTGTGAAGGTGATGCTCAAGGGCAACCACCATGATAACGAGGAGATTCCCTATCACAGCAGCCAGGTACGCTGCTAGAAAGATGGCAAAGTGTAAAAGCTGCAGCTCCCGGATGTCAGAAAATTCCTGGAGGAGGAACTCGGTTACAGTGGTTTGGTTGGACATTGCCTTTTTCAGTCCACTGAGGGATGCCTGTGGAAGAAATACAAGGGCAGCAGTCAGGATCAGAAAAACATAGCTCAGAGGCTCTTATTCTCCATTTCGAAACATCTCACAAGCCATTGGCAATGCGTAAGGGGCTGTGTCAATGACAGTATATGTTGCAAAACTCAGCTAGAAAAAATAAGAGCAAAATGCAGCCTTTAGTTTCACAGTCTTAGGGCATGTTTAGAGAAAATGGGGGTTTACTTCACCCTACACTGAAGCGGTGGGTTTTTAAAAACATTGCTGCAATTTAGGGTGAAGTAACCCCCTGTGCTGTGTACACCCATGTCTTACTTGCCTCTCCAGCGGTGGGGAGGGGAGGGAGAGCTGCCAGTGAGTGGAGTGGTCCCCGGGCTGTGGGATGAGGGTGTGGGGGTGCTTCCCTCCACAGCAGCAGTGGGCACCCTCTCAAGCAGCACCCACCTGCTCAAGCGGTCCCAGGGGGCACTGCAGCCACGGAGGGAAGGACAAGGCCCCCGTGCAGCTCAGGCAGGCTCCAGGGGAGGAAAAAAAAATAAGATCAGGCTCACCACTTTTTTTTTTCTTTTTTTTGGTGCATGGGCTGCCGCCAGGCTGCCTGCAAAGCCCCTTATCCACACGGAGCACGGTGCTTCACTCTGCGGAAGATGCATTACGCCACCAAATGTGCTACAGCAGCTGGAATTAATGCACAATATGCATACCCCAACACCATTAAAGTGGTGCAAAAGCATTGAACCTGCTTTAAAGCGTCGTGCATGCATGCCCCTTGTTTTGTCTACACAATTAGAAAAGAGGTTGCAACCCCACTGCGAAAAATATACTTACAGCTTGTGCAGGAAATTGTAACACTAATATTTCAGCATAGCATCCCACAGCCTTTCAAGGGATAGACTGCATAGAATCAGCTTGTATGTAATAATCCCACACCCAACACCCATGCACAGATTGATTGACTGACTGTCATCTGGTTGCAAACTAAAATAGGGCACTGCATACCAGCTGGGTTTGTCATTTCTATGTGAAAAGGGCGTACAAGGGAGTCTACCTTACTACTTCAGTGCTCTGCTGATTTCTCCACAGCACTTAGTTTTAGCTTGCAGCAATGTGGCCAAAGACGCATCGTTCCAATCTCATTGACTCCCGTCTGTCCCTAGCTTCTCATTGTATGTATTCAGACTTGGAGCAACTTACCGTGCTGGTCTTTGTGGGCTTTTTCCACAAGCTTGTGTTGCATTTGATCCTCACATCATTCCAATCTCATTGACTCCCTTCTGTCCCTAGCTTCTCATTGTATGTATTCAGACTTAGAGCAACTTACCGTGTTGGTCTTTGTGGGCATTTTCCACAAGCTTGTGTTGCATTTGATCCTCTGCTGTCAGTATTCTTTGCTCACTGCCCAGCTCTCAACCTACTTAAATACTCTTTCTTCTGCCACTGTGTTTTTTGAAGACAAAGACACTGATATTTGATTCAAGCCTCATTCTGTTTGGAGATGAATGGGCTGTAGCTGTCTAGGAGCCTCCCTGGTATGGAAGAGCAGAAGCTGCAGTAAGGTGCTTTATCTGTGTCCTTCTTCTAAGGGCTTGTGGGACTCATTCCCTAGAGTTCTCCATAGCTCAGTAGCAGAGGCCTAGAACCAAACACTCTTGAATTAATTGTTTTTAAAGATAAAGGGACAGTTGTGTATCTGTAGTTTCACCTACTGTAAGGCACAGGTCATAAATTTCACCCTGGGTTTCCTGTTCCTAATTCTGTGTATCCTGTGGGACGGACTGATAATGGTTTTTTTGGCACTCACACATGCACACAGATGCTTAGTTGAATTTAGAAAGCTATATGTGCTGGTTGTCTAGTTCCCTTTGGTTAGGTACTGTTTTAGATCCCACTAACGGCTTAGTTAAATCTTTAAGCATCTCAGTAGGCACTTTCATGTGTGCATTTATGCACTTTCATTAATGCGCATTAAATCTAGTACCTCCATTTTGAGGTACAAGGAAAATGTGCATTAGCCCAGCTTAATGTGCATTAATGTGCCACCCTCTGGTGTGGCACTGAAGGACAAGAGCATTGGTAAGATGCGAGTCCAAGGAAGGTGGTCATTTCTCATGGGAACAATCCTTTGGGCACAGAAGGGGACAATCCCATTGCGCATAAAAGGGGACAAAGGAGCCAAGAAACCCTCTTGGTTGAACAGGGAAATCCAGGAAAGCCTGGGGGCAAAAAAAGAGGCATACAGACTGTGGAAGCAGGAGGTGGCTACCAAGTAGGAGTATACCTACTTGACTCGCACTTGCAGGGAGTCAGTCAGGAAGGCCAAAGCAGCAATGCAACTTAGGCAACAAAAAATAAGGACAACAAAAATCCTTTCTTCAGGTCTATAGGGAGCAAAAAGAAGGCGCATGGTAACATAGGACCTGTACAGAACAGGCTAGGGTAATTGGTGACAGGTAAGAAGGACAAAGCTGAGCTCTTCAATGAGTTTTTTGCTGAGCACAGATCAAGACAAGTCTCCCAGCTGGACTATAGACAGGCATAGGAGGGACACCAGCCACAAACAATTGGTGCTGACCTAGTTGAAGGGACACTTGGAGGGACTGGTGTAATGAAGCCCAGATAAAGTTTGCCTACAATATTTCCTAAGCACCTACAATTCAGCTTCTGTATGCCTTCAGAAGCAATGCAGTTTAATCACCGAAGTGCCTGTTTCCCATCTAGGGTCAACTGTAATCCAGAGAAATGCTGGAGCGGCGACCAGTCCTTTGGGGGAATCCAATCCAGTGGGTATGCTCCAAGCATGCCTAAATCACACTGTCAGTGCCGGGCCACGAAGGGTTGGATGCTGGTCCACAGGAGAGTTGGCTGCTGGACTGGAAGTCCGGAAGTGACGGGCATATTGCAGACTGGCAGTCAACCTTTTATATACTGGGTATAAAAAAGGTATGCTGGTCACTGCTGGTTTGCAGTTTGGTGGTCTGTGGTCACTTCTGGTCCGTGGTCTGCTGGTCCGCGATCACTTCTGGCCTGTGGTTTGCCAGTCTGCAGCATAAAAAGATTGGGAACCCCTGTCCTAGAGCACCCACTTTGGTCCTTAAAAGCTTAGTGGTTGGAGCACTCACCCATAGAGATGGAGACCTGAACTACAGGCCCTTCTGCAGTGGTGTCAACTGTCTCTGCAGATGGCTGGAATAATTTTTTTTGGGACAGAGGAACCATCTTAGGCATCTCAGTTGGTTTCTACTCCTCAGACCTACTGCTTTGGGGGAAATGGTTAGGGGGCTGGGGCACATGACTTATGAGGAGAGGTTGAGGGAACTGGGCTTATTTAGTCTCCAGAAGAGAAGACTGAGGAGGGATTGAATAGCAGCCTTTAAGTACCTGAAGTACAAAAGGGCACATGGGAAGCTTGCAGGGCCTGAACTTAGCACCTGTTGGTTTTGAAAACACCATCCCATACTGGGCAAATGATAGGACAAGGCACAAGTTTAGAAAGGTGGTAGCAGACTTTGAAGTTGTTCAGCATTTACCCACTGGAGCAGAAGTGGAGCCATACTGCACTAGCCAGAATTATGTACGCATGCCATCTGCATAGATTTGGGAATGGAAGAGACTAGAGATGTTGTGCAAAGCATGGGAGGAATAAAAGGGAAGTGTAACAGAGTATATAGCACTGATTTTATTGCAAATCTCTGTGAGGCCCTGCCCTCTGCGTAACAGAGACAACTCTGATAGAGCACACATACAAACACCATACAAGGTCTTGGTGAGTTCAAAGGTCCTCTCCTGTCCTACTCTGAGCCCACCTATGATGGACAACAGTCTATCAAAGTATAGATAGATATATTTGGTATGGTTGCAGTATCTAGTATTCTGCTCTTTAGCTTTGTGGTCCTTGGTTCACTTCTCATTTTGTCAACAAAATTAAACATGGGAGGTAATGAGTAGGGCTGTGCAAGGCTTCGGACAGAGCTTTGGATCCGGTGAAGCTTTGGGGTCCGAAGCAGCATGTCTGGGTGGAAGCGGTGACCTTGTTTGGCTTCCCGAAGCGGTTCGGAGCCCCCTCGGAGATCCGGCCATAGGGTATAATGGGGAAACAATAAAATATTTATAACTTTGTTGTTTTTTTGTCTGATTTAGATGAAATTTTCAGGGGTGGTAGCTCTTACTGAGGCCACAAAGTCCGCCAGGTTTCAAGAGGATCAGTGCAGAGGTTTTGGGGTAACAGCACCCCAAATTCTTGAAAGCAAAACTCATGTCACATCTAGGTATTACAACATAGTGGGGTGAAAGTGCAGGGGTGGTGGCTCCAAGATGAAGAAATGGAAGGAAAGCAGGGCAGAGTGAGTGTCCCAGGAAAAGAAAACTTGGCCTTTTGACTCTATTCTTGACTTGAGCTGGCTTGGTGACGCAAGGGGCTCCTATACACATGCAGCGAGGCTGCTCCAACACGCTGTAATTACAGTGTGTTGAAGCAGACTTGATTAATTGAGTCTGCTGGAGTGTGGTAATTTCCATGCTCCATGAGACTCCAGTGTCATGTATATCAGTGTTCCCATGCTGAAAAATGGCAGCAGGAGCACTTTAACTTCAACGAGTTTTAGTTAAAGTGCTGTGGCCACCACCATTTTTCAGTGGGAAGATGCAGATACATGTGACACTCAGGGCGCTTTAATTAAAGTGCCACCCCCACCTGCCAGAGCACATCTATAAATGCTTAAGGACTCTGCCTGCTCAGTTGCAGTTAGTGAGTAAATGCAGTCTTGCTTAAGACGGACTGGCTGCTTTCTGCATATGTCCTCCTTGCCTTTTAAAAGGTAAAAAACCTCTCCAGCAGCTAAACTAACTGTAGCTCATGGAGATTGCCAGGTGATGCAAGAACTGGAAATCCCAGTCTCATTGTTTGAAAATGAAACTGGGATTCACCTCTCCAGATGCTACATCTGGGTTTGGTTTTAAGCAGTACACACAGAAACTGCAATACG